ACACTACATCAAATTGTAATTTCAGACTTAAAGGCTGAATCAGACTTCTTCAAGGAAATAAATTTAGCTAAACATTCATGAATTGAAATAATCTTTCCCCACTGAATTTTGTTTTTGCCAGGCAGGAGGGTCAAAGAGAGCTTTGTCAAGAAAAATAACATTAAATGAAGAGTTAAAAAATAGAATGAATCATTTCATTGCGGTTAAAATAAAACAAATACTTTGAACAGAAGCTCACATCTTCATATCACTTTCTTTCAGATTAATGTGAGAAGAAATTGTCTGTCCACCCAGCAGTGAATGGGTACCCGGTGGAACGAGACAGAACATGATTGTCAACCTTGACAGGCAGCTTGGGTTATAGCACACTGATCGATTGACCAGAGTAATAAAGTTAGCACGCTGAGCATACACCTTGTGTACAGAAGTTAGCATAATATAAGTACACACATTATTGTCAGACCAAATAGTCATCGACCACTTAAGAAATGGTATGGCAATGACAGTGCAAGAAACAAAACTCTGTGGTGACTCTCAGATTCAGACTCACTGGTCACGGATCCTGGTACAGTTTGTTTGTTGTTTAACAGGAGACTCAGCAAGTTCCAGCTGTCTAAAGGTGGTCAGTTAATAAGTAGGTCTGGAAAAGGCGATTCAGTGATTGACACAAAGCAATATGATCCATGTCTTCAGTGTACATTGGCATCTAAGTAACTACGTCATCGATCCTAACTGCCTGATCCATAAACTCGTCTTCAACAACCAGCATGGGTTTGGAGACCTCAGGTCATGAAGTCAAGCCTCACCATCGTCATGGAGACCTCAGGTCATGAAGTGACCAAGCCTCACTATCTGATCCAAGCCTCACCTCTCTGACTCATCATCAAACAGCATGGGTTGCGGGAGACCTCAGGTCATGAAGTGACCAAGCCTCACCATCTGATCCATGTACTCATCTTCAACAACCAGCATGGGTCAGTGGAGACTCAACAACCAGCATGGGTTTGGGAGTCAGGTGAAGTGACCAAGCCTCACCAAGCCTCACCATCTGATCCATGTACTCATCTTCAACAACCAGCATGGGTTGCGGGAGACCTCAGGTCATGAAGTGACCAAGCCTCACCATCTGATCCATGTACTCATCTTCAACAACCAGCATGGGTTGCGGGAGACCTCTCACTCATCCTCAACAACCAGCATGGGTTCGGGAGACCTCAGGTCATGCCTCACCATCTGATCCATGTACTCATCCTCAACAACCAGCATGGGTTGCGGGAGACCTCAGGTCATGAAGTGACCAAGCCTCACCATCTGATCCATGTACTCATCTTCAACAACCAGCATGGGTTGCGGGAGACCTCAGGTCATGAAGTGGCCAAGCCTCACCATCTGATCCATGTACTCATCTTCAACAACCAGCATGGGTTGCTGGAGACCTCAGGTCATGAAGTGACCAAGCCTCACCATCTGATCCATGTACTCATGGTGAGACCCAAGGTCATGAAGTGGCTCAGCCTCACCATCTGATCCATGTACTCATCTTCAACAAGCAGCATGGGTTGCTGGAGACTTCCGATCACAAGGTGACCGAGCCTAATCCTAATCCTCAGGTCATGTAGTGACCAAGCCTCACTGCCCAATCCATTAGCCACTTCCTACAACCAGCAAGGGTTGCTGGAGATGTCAGGTCCCGCGAAGAGTTGTGTGATAGAGTGAACATGAACCTCACAACTTAGCATGCTTCTGGAGGTGAGGTGAAATTGGGTTTTACATCGTGCTTGAGAATATTTCACTCATATGGCGACGTGCATGCATGTGTATGTGTATGTGCGGCTGCTTGTACTAGCCCAGACTTAAGCTGGTTTTATAGTGCTAGCCCACTGAGATACCATACCGCAGTGGAGCATGAATACCCCACTCAGACACATTATACAGACTCCGAGCCGACCAGTCGTTGTACCCATTAATGCCGAGCGCCAGGCAGGGACCAACAAGTACCATATTTTAATGTCTTTTGGTATGATGCGTTCGGGGATCGAACCCACGACCTTCCGCTCTCCGGGCGGACGCTGTAACCACTACACCACAGAGGCGGTCAAGTATGCTTCTTGAATCAGATGAAAAGTAAGTGTGTCTTCTCATTGGCAGTAGTAGTAGTTCAGGAGCACGCAGACTGCAGCAAGTTGGTCTCTACCAAATTGGTCACAAATATCATTCCAACAGAAACTGTCCAAATTCATAAATTTCTAAAGAAACAATATTTGGTTGGTAGGAAGGTCAACATGGACAGGTAGCATACTATATGCCAACAAGTTGAGACTTGAATGCAAATTGGTACTGCAGTCAGAAATATGGGAAATAGTCAAAATTACAGTTTGGCATGTTACAACTACCTGACAATTCTATTCTGGTAAATAAATGCTCAAAGATCAAAGTGTCTGTGGTTGATTTTCTGTAACCTAACATCAAAATCTCATCAATTATACCCTGAAGGCTTCAGAACATGCACTCATATGACATCAATAAAAGTCTTAGACAGTGAAACATGCCAGGGACCATATGACATTCATGGACCCCAAGAAGTTGTTCTGAAAGTCATCGGGACTTTAATGTTGCTGTTCCTCTGAAAGACATTCTTTAAACAACTGAAAGGGCATTGTTCGAGACAATCCTGACAATTCCTGTCCTGCCAAATCATCAAACTAAATATTATTTCTTGCGAATACAAGGCCTTCAAACAATTGCTCCAGTGTCTTCCCCAGCTTCTACGTTACCATCATTGGGGAAGGTCAACACCACTACACCACCTAGGAACTAGTTGTGCAAGCCAGTCTACCAGGATCACAGAGTTGATGTAGACTTGACAACAAGCCATTCTACCAGGATCAGAGGCGCGACTTGGAGACTTGACCACAAGCCAGTCTACCAGGATCACAGAGTTGATGTAGACTTGACAACAAGCCAGTCTACCAGGATCACAGAGTTGATGTAGACTTGACAACAAGCCAGTCTACCAGGATCACAGAGTTGATGTAGACTTGACAACAAGCCAGTCTACCAGGATCACAGAGTTGATGTAGACTTGAGAACAAGCCATTCTACCTCGATCAGAGAGTTGAGAACAAGCCACTCTACCAGGATCAGAGAGTTGAGAACAAGCCACTCTACCAGGATCAGAGAGTTGATGTAGACTTACGTACAGTTGACACCAAACTAATCTAACGGGTATCCTAGATCTGAGAACACGCCAGTCTACCAGTTTTATAAGAGTTACTGCAGGCCTGAAAACATGACCGTCGACCAATAACAGAGCGTTTGTATAGAGTCTAGAACAAGCTAGTCTACCAGTATCAAGACTGTCAAATGAACCGTACAGTTTGAATACAGAACAGTGGAAGAAGTGGAAGCACAAATAACCTCTCCAGACACATGTAATTGACAGCCATGATGAAAGTGACTTCCTCACCACTGCCACTGGATAATGTTTTATTAAGAAAAGTATTTTCCACACCACTTCTGCCAGGTAATGTTTAAAAGGCATGGCTTTTGTCTTTTGGCCACATTGGTTCCAATGTTATCCTAAATAGTTCAGTGAAAGGTCCTGATGTAATAATAAGGTCAGTGAAGCCTTAAAATCTTAGAGTCCATTAATGAATTCATAGCTGAGTTGATACTAGCTGTATCCTTGCTAACACTCTTGTCTGTTAAACACACTTTCCCTTGCTTGTTTAAAGCTGAATCAGCAATATGCTTGCTGTACCATGAAGTCCTGTATATGATCGAGACGGGCAAGATGATGCGCAGTGAACCAAGCTGCTTGTTCTGTAGTTGTGTAGGGGACATGGGGGAGTCCAGTGGAAAAAACATTTGTTCGTCATGCTGAAGGCCTGGGTTTGAATCCATACATGGTTCCAATATGTGAAGCCCAATTCTGGTGTACCTCGCCTTGATATTGTTGGAATATTGCTAAATGCAACACAAAACCAAATGTTTCACTAATACACTGAACTTGTGTTACATCACGAACAGCTGGAGTATCACAAATCATTTCAATCACGAACAGAATGCTGTTCCTGTTGTAATATGCATATTAACTTCATCAATTACTTGTGAAAAACACACATTCTGATGAACCTGATCTTGCTCTTACCTTAAAAGTTAGTACCCAGTGACTTTTCTGATCTTAACTTAATAAACACAGTGCATGTTGAAACACAGATAATTTTATAAAAATAGCTAAAAGCATCTGGTCAACCACGGGTTAAAATCTATTCTCCCGTGAGATTAAACAAGCCATGCAGCGGTTTAGCTGCCTTCACACTCCAGACGTCCTTAGAAGGCTTCCCTAGCCATGTAACATTGCTCAATGTCATTCAGTTCCAGGTCTGATCAATAATCAATCTTTGTCTGGTAGGAACTGATTACACTGGTTGCTTGCTCCAGATCCAAACTCAAAACACTTCCACCATGTGGTTATTATATGACCGCCCAAGCCAATGAAAATCTCACTCTATCACTCTCACAGTTTATATCAATCACTGAAGACAGAATGAACTTGTATGCCACAGTATGGAGATATGCCAAACCCTAAACTAAGAGCTGAAAAGAGCTTTCGAGATAAATATAATATTCTTTTTCAGTTTGCTTGAATGCATTGCTTTCATTAGAAAAATATTTTGCACTGCTTCCTATTACCAAATCATCTCAAAATCACAAACTGAAACAAGCAATAAAATTTGATAATATATTGAAAGCATATGTAATAATACTAGTAGCAAGGTCAATATTTATCTAAATAACTGGAAATGTTTCCTTAAGAAATCAATCTTAATATAGTCCACTTCCCCTTATTGGCAGAACTTTGTACACTCTGTTGTAATGTCCAAAACTGTAATGGCTAACAGGTTCTGTGAATAGCAGTCACTGGCAGTACGGCCTGTCATGTCAACAGACAAACATGGAGAATAAAGGAGCTCCTACAATAAAGCACTACAACTTACTGAGAATGTCAGTCTCATCAATGATCTCAGACTGGATGATCTCCTCAATGACGTCCTCCAAGGTCACGACGCCCAGAATCTGATACCAAGGGTCCACATCCCCCTCATTGCGTAGGTACTGAACAATGGCCATATGGGAGTTTCCTGTAAGACATGGAACAACATGTTCAACACACTAACTCATACATTTGTTGGGTACATGATACAATACATGATACACAAGATGATACACAAGAATATACACATGTAGCCTACAGACTTAGAGAGAAGTCCAAAACATTGATATTCTTCACTACAATTAACTCTAATTATATAATAATTTGTAGCAACCATAAAATATCTGAGTTATGTTATTGGCTTCAAACCAGACCTTCTGATCTGAGTCTGAACACCTTGTCTGCATGACCAAAGAGATTAACCTAGCCATCTGTGAAGCTTGTACAAGATTATCTGCTGTAGGGATAGCATGTGTATGTTGAGCTAATAGACGTGTATCTGTTGTAGGAATAGCATTTATATGTTGAGTTAATAGACGTGTATCGGCTGTAGGAATAGCATTTATATGTTGAGCTAATAGACTGTAGGAATGTATCTGTTGTAGGGATAGCATTTATATGTTGAGCTAATAGATGTGTATCTGTTGTAGGAATAGCATTTATATGTTGAGCTAATAGACATGTATCTGCTGTAGGAATAGCATTTATATGTTGAGCTAATAGATGTGTATCTGTTGTAGGGATAGCATTTATATGTTGAGCTAATAGACGTGTATCTGTTGTAGGAATAGCATTTATATGTTGAGCTAATAGACGTGTATCTGTTGTAGGGATAGCATTTATATGTTGAGCTAATAGACGTGTATCTGCTGTAGGAATAGCATTTATATGTTGAGCTAATAGACGTGTATCTGCTGTAGGAATAGCATTTATATGTTGAGCTAATAGACGGTATCTGTGTATCTGTTGTAGGGATAGCATTTATATGTTGAGCTAATAGACGTGTATCTCCTGTAGGAATAGCATTTGTATGTTGAGCTAATAGACGTGTATCTGCTGTAGGAATAGCATTTGTATGTTGAGCTAATAGACGTGTATCTCCTGTAGGAATAGCATTTGTATGTTGAGCTAATAGACGTGTATCTGCTGTTGTAGGAATAGCATTTATATGTTGAGCTAATAGACCTGTATCTGTTGTAGGAATAGCATTTGTATGTTGAGCTAATAGACGCTGTATCTGTTGTCTAGCATTTGTATCTTGAGATATTGACGTTGTATCTGCTGTAGGAATAGCATTTGCATGTTGAGCTAATAGACGTGTATCTACTGTAGGGATAGCATTTGCATGTTGAGCTAATAGAACTCGGGATGGCTTAGTTTATGATAAAACTTATCGAATTTGAGGTTTTGTTAAACGACAAGTGAAATACAGAAACATTTTATTTTTTTGATATAATTATTGACACAAACAAATAAGAAATTATTGCAACAATTTTATTACTCTGTTTATACTCTAAAACTTCAAAGTGATCAGCCGTTTGGCAGCCACATTCCATCTAAGGTCAAGGTCATTTGTACATCCCATGTAGAGTGTCACGTGACAGATTTGACGGGGTGTATGGTTCGTACACCCTAAATCCGCCTACATGGTTTCGCATGCTTTGGCTATTGACCAATCAGAATTCAACAAATTTATCTTAAGGGTAAACAGTGGAATTAACACCAGAGAGTCTACAAGACAGTATAGTATATATCTGGTGTGTGACTAGTTGATGAAATACTACACTGTCTGCAGAGATTTCCTCACACAGACAGTCCACAGCCCCGTTTCACAAAGCGACCGTAGCGCTAAGATGATCGTAACTCCCATACTTTAACATAGAATTATCACAATCATAGCGCGCCATGATCGCTTTGTGAAGCAGGCCTCTGCATTGTCCACTGTTTCACCAGCAGTATTGGCAATAGATTACTGCCATGCAATTAGGTGAAAGCTCCCTACTAAATAATGCCGACCAATGACTCATACGTAATGACCAGTTATATGATGAGACATTATTTATTTATCATGGCAAGTAAATACTGATTGTATTTAAAGGCTATTTATCAAGTTGAAAGATGACTATAGTAGAGAAGGCACATGATGGACAATCTGACCATGTTGTAGTTAACGATGTACGTACACATCAGCATCTGCCAATCCAAACTAGTGAAAGAGTGCCATTGTATTGTACTGAAGAATGGAGGCCCAGGAGATAAAGCAGCCCCAGAAAATTGGGATTTGGAAGAAGTGTCACACTTAATTAAAGCTTATTTCACTATTCCTCAGGTAGTTGACCTTTAATAAGACAAAGTTATTATATTTATATTTACTGAAAACTCAGGTCCAGAATTATAGCCCAGGATGCCACGCATCAATATGAACTACCGTCTTGGGATATCTATTAGTCCTTAGTACAGTCTGGTAGTCTCAAGCTAGTGAACTACCATGAATGGTAAAAGGCTTTTTGCCCAGTTCCACAGTCAGGCTGATCCACTTTAATATAAGATCCATTTTAACCTAAGCACCAGAGGGACAGAAGTTCACCTGTATTCAGAGACACAGGATAAGATGAACCAGTCTACTTCTCTCAAAACACACCAGCCAACCATAGATAATGACACAATGACCACAATGGCTGCTTTGATACTTTATAATATCGGAACAGACAGAATGAGGGACATGACTACGATATTTTACTGATCAAGTTGATGTCTTATGTGTTGTCCATATCAGAACAAGTCATTAGCATCAACTGCTATCATTCCATCCCTTCAATACAATGTTCGTATGCATATTTTGAGCAAATAACCAGAAGGATGAAGTAGTTTCTGAAGTATAAAATATTGCCAGGTTGCCATCCACTGATCCAGACACATTGAATTTATAGGGATAGAAATGCAATTTCTTCAATGTTGCCATGGGGCACCATTCAGATAATATTAGTGTGCCTTTGTGAAAATAAGTGTGCCCATACCTTTAGATAATTCAATTACAATTAATACATCACAACAATTACCGGTATGTCATTTCAGTCTATTGTTTAATTAAGAAGCAAACATGTAAATCTGTAAATGAGAGAGCTGGTTCTCCTGAACACTTCAGCTTCTTATGACAACAAGAATAGTTCACCTTCACTTGTCAATAAACAGATCGATAGGCTGCTAAAATAGATATTTAATTATTCAATAATTTGAGTTGTCAATCTTATCGTATTTTGCATTAAATGAATCATGGTGAGTATATTTTTATACTTTTATTGATGCTGCCAGGGCACATTGAAAATATTTCATCCATGCCACTTCAATATTTAGCATGCCTGATTTAGAAACAGCAGGCCCTGACTAACTCCTCACGACCTCTGACACTTAAACTGACATCTTAAATTTACAATAGGCCAGTGTTCGCGAATAGTGTCTGACCCTCTGACAAATCCGGCAGATTCGCCAACGGTCCGATAGAAGTCTACAACCCACCAGCCCCAGTGTCTGACTGTACATTTCACAATGACTTTGACTGAAGTTGTTATATGTGACATGTAACACTTGTTTGCTGTTTATTTTATCTTAATTTTTCTTATGTTTGTTAATAATTTCAATGCCAATTATAAGAAATGTTAAATCTGAAATGTGTGTTTAATTTTATTCCATGGGTCCTGTGAATTTTCAATGGGTCAGACAGACATCTTAAACTTACAGGACCCAATGTCCTGTTACTTTGAAACACCATTCGTGAACACTGATAAGCTCTAAAGACCCACACAAATATTGAAGTACAATTGCGGTCAGATCTAACTGCCACAGGCTGTTCGGCAGGTGCCTGTTTCAAACGTTGGATCATTGGACCATGGCAGTCACACTCTCCCATTTTAAATTGTAGGTTCAGACACAGCCATATAAAACAATGTAAGCTATTGAGCATTTTCATGAATGCTGTATGGAATCATAACAATGTTGCTGACACCCAATGGCTCAGCTTTGTGTTAAAGACGACTGAATATTAGGATGGATTTAGACTGGTACATGTCTAGTGTTGTAAAGACTAGGGCTGCAACGAATACACTATGTGGCGAATATGATATGTATCATGAATTTTGGGTAACGAATACGAATAATAATTCACGAATACAATATTGTAGTTAAGTGATTGATGCACTTTATAGAACGCCGATGTTGACAGTTTTGATTTGTCACAGCAATAACCAGTGATCTCATGGCACTCAAAGTTGGTATGTAATAGTTATAATCGACAATACCATGTGCGGCCTTGGCAAACTAACATGACTTGCACTACTGCAATGCTAGTACATGTTCCATTCTTGCATATCTCACTTTGGAAAGGACATAAGGGTTCAAGTAAAACATGCTCCCTTAAAAAAATCGTAAATATTCGTTAATATTCGGTTCTGGTGACCATGAATAACGAATTGAATTCATGAAGGGCTACGGTTCGATTCAGCGAATATGCGAGTGAATCGTTACAGCCTTAGTAAAGACACACATTTAGAAGGCGAATAAAAGTTCTGTATGCTAACAACATCCAAAATATGTACAATAACACCATGTATTAATGTGTGTTCTCATTTATCACACCCCAGCATCCTGTTTCACAATAGTTCCCTACCAGACATGTGACAAGATGGATATCCCTCCCCTCACATCAATATTCACCAACATTAAGTGTAGCGTATTCTTAGCTGGTGAGAATACAGTCAATTATTAACAAAACTCATATGCAAGTTTTATGACCATTTTTCAACTTCTATCTTTGACGTGATAATGACAGTAACAGCCTAAGTGGTATGTATATGATGAATGATTGCCTGGTCCACCAATTCCTGGACAGTGTTCCTTTCACATGACAGCATCACAAAATCAAATATTCTTGGCTCTTTGCCCAGTCCACAGATATCTCTAAAGAGACATAGATGCTCATACAATCTAGCTAGCTTGATCCAGCAGTTAAAGAATTTTGCAAAATGATGCAGTTAAAACCAGATACTGATCATCACAAATAGATGTACTTATTTCTCGATATTAGCTTAGCATCATTTATTGAATTTTGAAAATTATACTTTATCTTACCAAACACATATATTACTCTTGTGA